TGCCACTAATCCCACCTTATTAACATCATAGAGGTAGGATTTACAACACACAGGAAAATCACATCAGATGACAAAATGGTGGACAATCACACAATGCTGGAAATCATGGCCTAGCCAAGCTGACACACATTTTGAGGGGACACAGTTCAATCCATGACCACCTCATATCTTTCCCCTCTGCACGGTTTCGCCTATTATCCTTGCATTTGTGTGAAATACTTATTAGATGCACCGATGTTCATACACAATTATTAACTAAAGTCCACAGTGTACAGGAGCTTTCACCCTTCGTGAGGTCCTTGGGTGGCACAAACAGTTTACAGTCAACTACTAACCTAAGTAGCCCTGGTGGCACAGTGGTTAAGAGCTTGGCTGCTAACCAAAAAGTCAGCAGTTCAAATCCACCGGACACTCCTCGGAAACAGAGTTTTACTCTGTCCTATAGGGTCGCTATGAGTCGGAATTGACTCAATGGCAATGGGTTTGGTTTTTTCACAAACCTAAAGGTTGGTTGTTCAAACCCACCTGGTAGTAGCACAGAAGAAAGACCTGGAGATCTGCTTCCATAAAGATTACTGTCAAGAAAACTCTATGGAGCAGCTCTACTTTGTAACACATGTGGTCGCCGTGATTCAGGATCGACTCGACGGCAATGGGTTTGGTTTTGGTTGTCACTCTGTGTGTTGTACGGTCCCGTGGGTTTCGACAAATGCTTCATGTCACGTGTCCACCAGTACAGTGTCACCCAGAACAGTCACACTGTCCTAAAGATTCCCTGAGTGCCTCCTGTTCACCCTCCTCCTCTGCCCAGCCCCTGGCCACCACTGATCTTTAGCTGTCTCTAAAGTTTCCCTTTTCCAGAATGTCACATTGTAAACATTTTCCTTCATCATACAAATACATTGAGCTTCTGAAAGTGAGTTGCTAGAAAGGCAGCAGATGTAAATAAGAGCTCTGGTGGAGCCAGGGGAAAGGGGCTGTTTGCGGGGTGAGTCACAGCCCAGGCTTGGAAGCCCGTGTGCCCTTGGGGTGCCTCTCTTTCTTCCCGAAGCTGTAAAAAGGTGAGGCCCCAACCTCCGGGTGCTTGGCACGGGGCTGGGCAGGCAGGACATGTTCAGATGATGGCTCCAAGGGAGGAGACAATCTGGAGGGCTTCCCAGGGGAGGTGTCTTATGGGCTGAAGCAAAGGAGGCTGTGGAGGAGACCAGAAGTGTGTCCTTGAGGCACAGACAGCTGCAGGAGGAGGGTCAGGATTAGGGTGGGGTGGCTACAGAGTCTGGGGTTCACGCTGAGGCCAGATGGCAACCTTGAATAACCAGGTGGGGCATGAGAACTTTACCCTGGAGACACAGGGAGGGAGAGAGAAGTAAGAGCAGGCATGTGACCTTATGGAATGTTCCTGGAGCGTTCTCAGGAGGAAACTGGACACCTGGGAGGAGAGCTGGCTCCCGAGGGGCACTGGGTCAAGGTGAGGCCTGGTGGCCCCACCCGGGCCCCCGGGGGACAAGATCCAAGGCGCTTCCCAGCCCTTCCTGGCTTTATGGTGCTGAGGTGGGGCTTGTCTGGGATGAGGCAGGTGCGAGAGAGAGAACCAGGATGTAGGAGCCAAGGAGCCAGAGTTTCTATCTGGGCCTCTGTTTCCCCGCTTGACATTCCTGAGCCAGGGACAGGTCCGCCAGGGCCATCTGTAAGTATTGGTGAACACTTGGTGAAGGGGTATCTGCATGAATACAATGTGATAAGGGTCCACACCCTGGGAGAGAGGGGTGAGAGGGCACATGGAGGCTTTCTGGGGAGGGGGTATTTGATCTGGACCTTGAAAACTGAGACAGACTTGGACACAATGGAGGGGAGGATGCAGAATGCATGGCGGGCAGGGAGGTCAGGCGGTTCACCATGGCAGGGTGTGGAGTGTTTGAGAGATGAGGAGACAGGAAGCTTGGGATTCACTGGGCTGTAAATGTGAGATATGCATAAGGGTGAGTTGTTGGGTTAGTAACTGGAAGGCCAGGGATTCAGGCATGGCTGGATCCAGGAGCTCAAACAATGTTTGCAGGGTGTTGTGTCAGTGTTAAAGAGCCTGGGTGGCACAGTGGTTAAGCACTTGGCTACTAACGGAAAGGTTGGTGGTTTGAACCCACCAGCTGCTCTGCGGGAGAAAGATTTGGCAGTCTGCTTCTGTAAAGATGACAGCCTTGGAAAGCCTATGAGGCAGTTCTACTCTGTCCTGTAGGGTTGCTATGAGTCAGAATTGACTTAATGGCAATAGGTTTACGGGTGTCAGTGTTGACTCCACAGGGGGAGCATGTGGCCCCCAGCAGTTCTCCACCTCACCCCACGAGACTGGCAACCCCAGTGGGAAGAGGGTCCCAATTTTCTGCATTAATTGTAATCAAAGTCTCAGGATTTTATGTCATTGACCAGGTTGGGTCACATGTCCATCCATGAACCAATCACAGAGGCCAGGGAATGGAATAATTTGATTGGTTGGGTTGGGGGCACTTACCCGATCCTGAACCAATCCCAGGGGCCATTTGGCTGGAACTTTGCCTTTTGAGACTGGAGATTGTTCCTGTCTTGAAACTCTACAACCTGGTGGCTTTTGGAGTCTAACACATGAGTTAAGAGTTCGGTTAACCAAAAGTTCGGCAGTTCAAATCCACCAGCTGCTCCTCAGAAACTCTATGGGGCAGTTCTACTCTGTCCTGGAGGGTCGCTGTGAGTCAGAATGGACTCGACGGCAACGGCCATAACAAAATACCACGAAGTGAGTGGTTTTCAAGAACAGAAATTTATTTTCTACAGTTCTAGGGCCCAGAAGTCCAAATCAGGGCTTCGGCCGTGTGGATGTCTTCTGAGGGCTTTGAGTGGGGAGCTGTTCCCTGTCACTCTCCTCACTTCTGGAGGCTGCCAGCAATCTTTGGCATTCCTCTGCTGCTTACAGATGCAGCTGCCTCCGTCCTCACGTGGTGTCTGCCTTCCCTCTGTGTGTGACTGTTTCACCGTCTGTCCTTCTCTTTTATGAGACGCCACTCAGAAGGGATCACGACCCACCCTACTCCTGTCTGAACTCAATTTAACTGACAGCATCTACGCAGAAAAGCACTCTTTCCCCAAGCAAGGTCACACTCACAGGGATGGGGTTTAGGACTTCAATACATATCTTTGGGGTGGACACAACCCAAACCATCGCACGTGCTCATTTCCTTCTAATTTCCTTAGTGAGCCCACAGTGTCTCCACCCCGTCAGAGGAAGGTCACCCCCAGGATCCCGTCGGCCGGGCTACAACCGCTGAGGACATGGACCGAGTGACCAGATACCCCATCTTCGGCATCCCCGACTCGCCCCGCCTCACCAGCCTGGCGTTTGATGGGGACATTGGCTACACGTTCAAGCTGGTGGGCACGGGTCCAGAGGCGGCTGGCTGGGGCCAGGACGAGCCGCCTGCCTGGCCCGCTCACCATGAGGACCAGCTGGACACGGTGAGGGCCGGAGCGTCCCACAGCCTGCGTGCCTTCCCCGGCAAGCCGTCCGCACGGGCACTCTACCTAGAGGACAAAGAGGATGAGGGGATGAAGGCTTACCACCTGGGTGATGCCAGGGACAGCTTCCCCAGGCGGCCTCAGGACTTGGGGCTGGAGCGCCAGACGATCATCCAGGGCCAGGCGGTCAGGAAGAGCGGCACGGTGGCCACACTCCAAGGGACCCCAGACCAGGTGGACAGCGCCCCCAGCCACACTCTGTCCGAGTTCCTGGGGGAGAATGTAGTGGACAGGGAGCAAATAGACTTCCTGGCCGCGCGGCAGCAGTTCCTGAGTCTGGAGCGGGCCAATATGGCAGCCCCTCGGAAATCCCCGCCCAGGGTGGTCTCCGGGGGTGCCCCACAGGGGGTCAGCCAGGCTCCCAAGGCCTTTAACGGGCCCCACCTGGCTAACGGGTATGGTGTGGCTGTCAGACCTCAGGTGAAGGAGGTGACTGAGATAGAGAAAAAGAAGGATCGGGGATCACCCGCTGGGTTTCACGTCGGCACGGTGGAAGAGCCTGGTTCCCGCCCCCGGGCAGGGTCTCCGGAGCACGCCAAGGAGACCCCCATCGAGCGGGAGATCCGGCTGGCTCAGGAGCGTGAGGCCGACCTGCGAAAGCAGAGAGGCCTGCAGCCGGCGGCCAGCCACCAGGAGCTGGTGGAGATCCCTACCAGGCCCGTGCTGACCAAGGTGAGTCTGACCGAGGCGCCGCGGCGGGAGAGGGGCCGCCCATCACTCTATGTGCAGCGGGACATTGCGCAGGAGACTCAGCGTGATGAGGACCACCGGCGGCAGGGCCTGCAGGGAGGCCGGCCGTCCACACCCGACTGGGACTCCAAAGGCCCCCAGCCCAGACTCAGGAGGGTCCTCAGCTCAGACTCCATCCTCAACCCGGCCCCAGACGCCCGAGCGGCGGACCCCGCCCCAGAGGTGAGGCGGGTGGACCGCATCCCGTCCAGCGCCTACCAGCAATTCCAGAACCCTGAGAGCCCCCGGCTGGAATTCTCAGCCTTCGGCACGTCTGCCAAGACCAGAGGTCCATCTGCAGACGAGGTCAAGGCTGGGGCTTCTCCAAAGGCCGCAGGGCCTCGGAAGCATGTCTCGGAATACTCCGGAAAACCCTCGGGCACAAAGCAAGGGCACTCGAAGACCCTCCAGAAACCTCCGCAAGCCAACGCGGGTGTCATGCGATCGGAGTACTTCCGCCTGCGTACCCCGCAGTTCAGGGTTGCGGATGTGCCCCAGCAAGCAGAGGCCCCCCAAGTCTGGGAATGGGAGGTGGCTGGGGCCCCGCCATTGAGGCTGCAAAAGTCCCAGTCGTCCGATCTGCTAGAGAGGGAGGTGGAGAGCGTGCTGCGGCGCGAGCGGGAGGTGGCGGAGGAGCGGCGCAGCGCGTTGTTCCCCGAAGTCTTCTCGCCATCGCCAGGTGAAGACTGCGGCCAGGTCTCTAGGAGATCCTCCCAGGAGTCCGGTGAGGAGGGGCCCCGGGAAACGGCAGTTTTGCTTGGGATCGCTGAGATTGGAGCACGGGAGGTTGAGGAGGTGGTTTGGTGATGTCAAGAGCAGCTTTGGGTAGGGGGATATCTCCTGACTCTGCTCCCTCAGTCAGCTGGTCTGTCTGCTTAAGCTGTAGATTTTGGAGAGAGATGTCAACTTTGCTTTGTGGGTTTGCTTTATGGATTTGGATGCCTTGTTATTAGGCTTGTAGAGGTTTACAGATGTGCCCTCTTGCTCCTTTTTATCAATATGAACGCCCCCGCCCCCGGGTCACTTTTCATCTTTATCACCTTGAAATTTGGCCCATCTGTCTGTCTACAGTTTCTCCTGACTGGCTATTGTGGTCAATTTGTCCATCTGTTTTCTCAGCTAGCTGCCTGGTCTGTCTGTTCACTCGTCCCCTATCTGGTCCAGCCTCTTGGCCAGACACTCTGTGTTCTGGACTCAGGTCGGACAGGCAGGCTGCCCACAAGGGGGCTCTGGGGCCCTCCTTGATGCCCCTTCCTCCCTTCCTACCCCCCACAGGCATCACAGGCAGCTACTCTGTGTCCAAATCACCCTCCTTCACCCCCTTCCAACTACAGTCGGGCCTGGTGTGGACAGTGGAGGCTAAGCCCGAGCCCCCAGAAGTGCCACCAGAGGCCGCTCCGTGGCAGAAGAAGAAGAAGGAGCTGTGGGTAAGTCCAGAACTGTACACCACCTGTCCCCTCGGAGGCCTGGCCGTGGCCACAGACGGGTAGTGGCAGTGCACGAGAGTTACAAGAGAGACTCCAGTAGGACTTGGATCCGACTCCTGTCTCCCTCACTGCTGGCTGGTGAATGGGCCTCCGTTTACCCTGTATTTGAGGTAAAGGATGGCTCAATTGGGCATCTCGTCCATCTCTGGGTTTCTGCTCTCCGGGGCCACGTATATGCCAAAGATGGGAGTCATCCCCCTGAGTCAAAGTCTGAAGGGTGAGCCCTCTTGGAGGAGAGTGAGGAGAACGTTTATCTTTGTCACGATTGTTCTGTATTGTCGTAAAATACACATACAATTTACCATTTTAATCATCTCCGAGTGTACCGTGCACTGGTATTTGGTATACTCACCACTACCTATTTCCCTAACTTTTTCGTCATTCCAAACAGAAGCCCTTCCCATCATTATTATTATTTTAATGTGTCTGTTATTGTCACGGTTGTCTCCATGCATAGTGGGCACCTGGCATGATACATTGAACATTAATTCATTCATGAGCACCTTGATGGGAAGCCTTGTCACACGCATTTTACAGAAAAGAAAATCAAGGCATTAAAATCTGAAATCACACACACGCAAGGTCATGAAGCTCTTGAGTTTCCAGGCTGGGACTTGAAGCCAGGCCTGACTCCAGACCCCACACTGGTCACCATTAGGTCACTCTCCTCCCCGGATGGGACACAGGGGAGACCACAGAGAAAGACAAACCTGACCTCAGCTGCCTGGTGCGCAGAGCCTGGTGTCAGACGAGTCCAGCGTGGCCTGGCAGTTCAGGACAGACTGGAGCCCAATGATCCAGGTTCAAGTCCCAGCTCTGCCACTTGCCAGCTGTGTGCTCTTGGGCAAACCACTGCCCCTCTCTGACCCTCAGTCTTCTCCTCTGCACAATGAGCGAGATAATAAGAGCAGCCCCCTCTCAGCCTCTGCATGAGGATGGAATGAGTTAATAGGTGTCAGGCGCTTGGAGCCACAGTCAGGGCCCCATAAATGCAGTCTGTCTTTATTATGATGGAAAAAAGATGAACCAAGGCCTCACTGACAGGAACAGCATGGCGGTTGGCTTTGAGTTTGGGGTAATTGAGGGGCACTTGGGAGGACTGTGGTGGACAGGGGATGCCTTCCCTTCTGTCCCAAGTGGTGACAGAGTGGGCAGTGTATCGAGTTCCAGGCAGGCTCAGGGTGGGGCAAAGGAGGGAGTCCCTGGGCACTGATACGTGTTCTTCTCCTGCAGTACGCCAGCGTCAACCCCTCAGACGACATCAGCTTGGAGGTGAGGCTTCCCTTACTCCATCTGTCCCC